GATACAGTAAAGCGCCTATAGGTATAATGTGATACACTCCGGCGATAATAATACCATTTTACGGATAAAAACATATAAAACTCGCCGTTACACGACCCTCACATTTTATATTATGCTTTCGGTGCGATAAAGACTCATCATTAATTTTTATTGCAATATTATCCTATTACTATTATTATTGTTATTGTTTCGACATTCGTTACGGCTGACCCTTTAGAGTATACTATATATGCCGGACGAGGGGACGCACTAAATATAATATAGAAATAATACAATTGGTATTGTAATAAAAATTCCAGAATTGATTAATAACATGATTTTAGTACGTCTCTGTTTATTACAAATTAATTATATCTGTATGACTTCCAGATCGGCGGGGCGTAGTATTATGAAATACATAGTTTATCAGATGGTATTATATTAAATATTTTGTAATTTATATTTTGTACAATATGTATTGACGTTAAAATTCGAAGGTATAGGTGCAAGCTACTGCGTTATATTGCATATTTATTGATCTTACTATTATAATACCTATAATAGCAACAACAAGACGCATTTCATCTATTAAAACTGACAGGTACCTGAAATTGGCGAAAGGTGTTTTGTGGTTCGTACAATAATATTATGTGCAGTGTTTTGATTATTTTTTGTTTTTCGATAGATATACTAATATAATTGGCCGTAAAATGATATGTGTACTGGTGTATAGGCATGTACCTAGGTATATCTTCGTAGGGTCTATCTATACCTTCTTATACCGCAATAGTTAGTGTGATTGCGCAATAGACTATGTACAATTGTTGTTTGAGCAAACAGAAGCTTTTCACGGCGAATAAAAGCTCATTTTTCCGCCGACGGGTTCTGACGTACATTTTATATGTTTTTTTTTTTTCACAAAACAAAGAAAACGTTTCGGGGATTTCTCGTTGATTCGAGTTTGTTTTCGTTATTCGTCGCTAGCTTGTGTGTGTGTAAATTTGAATGTAGCGAAAGACCATAGTTTTATTTTCCTCCCTGCTCGCCTACCTGCTCATTCTTTCCGTCGATAAAAACTGTATAGGCGCACGGAAAACGTTTCGTTTTTTCACTCTTCCCGCCCGCGAATCGTAGTTAGCGCCCTCGAGCGTTGTTTCCGCATATATTTATGTGTATTATATACACGATGGAGGCATTTATACCTTTACCTATATAATATACTATAATACTATGTTATTATTGTTATTTCAATATGTACGAGACATCACTCGTTTTCGAAACGTTCGGATTAGTCACGCTATGGTTATACTTATAAGCGTCCGTATACTCTTCCTACTATTATTTTTTTTTTTTTTACGCCCCTACCGACTCGCGATATAGCTACTAACTAACTGTACCCATGTACGTATATACGTAATAGTGCACCGACGTCTAAATAATATGTATTTATGTATAATATTATTATTGTAACGCGCTCCACGTCTCGGGCCATATATTATTATGTTATCGTGTATAATATTATTGTGTGTGCTTTATCGAACGCGGAAACCATACGGTTTTCGGCTGTAATTTTTTTTTCTCCGATTCTTGCGTCGCAACAAAAACTCGGCCGAACGTTTTTTCTCATGCTTCTCCGGACCCGTCAAGACGGCCGCACAATGGACACAACGCACACATACAATAATACCAATATATGTACATGCGTAAGTATAATCTCATGGTCAAGTTAAGTGCGACATTGACCACGTTTCAATGTCACGTCGAACGACCATTATATCTGGTACCTATATATTATAGTATACATTGTGTGTCACGTTATATTATGCATTATATTATTACAATATATTGTATGCGGATGTGCAGCAGCGATAATGTGACAAAATACGGAGGCGGTGGCGGACACCCGGGGCGCGAGGATAGGGTTGGTTTGCAGACTGTTTATGGGCTTACGTTTTTTTTGTTGTCCTTTTCGTTTCAGGATTTCTCAAGACGACGGTCGTCCAGACGCACATGCAGGGTTTATGGTACAGTACGCATCGGTAGCGTGATGGCATATACCTATATATACATATGATAGTAATATATTATTGCTATATGTGCAGTGAACGACGACGATATAATACTGTATAACCAGTGCGACGACTGCTGAGCCGCGTGTAATAAGATAATGTGCGCACAATAATGGTATAGTAGCCGCGACCGGGAAGAAGGACCCCGGGGACGAAGGATAGGATTTAACGTCGTGTATAAAATAAAAAAAAAAAAAAAATTGGTATTTACTTTCCTTTATAGCAGTTCGGGTTAACCCTTTTAGGACACGGTTTGTAAAGGGCAGTCGTATATATTATCATACACACATATAAGAAGTACACACCAACGGTCGATATATATTGCGTTTGTATACTTTATGTTATGTAGGTAGTACCTTTGGCCCCGACGGGCGTGTAAAGTTCAAGCAGCGCGGGCGTTCGGCCGTTATAATAATAATAGTAATAATAATCCAGACCTTATTTTCGCTTCCGCACTCACACCGTAGGTACATATTATATATACCCATATTACGCACATTATATTATATTATCACGCGGGTGTCCTGCACCCGGCGAGCCATATCTGTTTTATGTGCATGTGTATTGCGTACGCATATATTAATATACGTATTAAATAATATAGTTTGGCGTCTATGCATGCATAATGTGTTACGTCCGAAGACGAGACCGGCCGGGCCTGAATCTTCGTGACATAATCATAATAATAATGCTCGGATGTAATGCGCTTCAACGGCCATCTGGAAAACGTTATTATTATTTTTTCCACCGAAATCGCCATGTCCGACGTATACCATGTAACATAGGTAATATTTTCGTGCGATATATGCATAATATATGTTATATTTAAACGACACTGTATCTGTGGCGCAACGCACCGAGACGGCGCCAAAAAAATATTATGTTCTACGCGCGTGGCGCGTTGTCCGGTTTTCGAGTATACATATTATACTATATGGGTCCTGCAGCATCACAACAAATATCGTTTTGGCGACGTCCCGACCGAAAAAAAAACATATTAATATAGTGACTTTGTCGAAACCCGCCGCTGACTGGTCTGCACAATGACATTTACATTATTATTAATATATTATAATATTGTACAGGCCGCGCTGCAGTTGGTGCGGCTAACTGCGGGACGTCATTTGGATCGAAAACAGACATTACCCATTTAATATTAGGTATACGAAAATTAATAACGTGGAAGTCAAATAACATTCTAAACATCATATTCAAGTTGATAATATTTGTTTATTTATCTCCCTAATATTATTTCGATAAATATAGTTATAATCCACTAGCGTTGTCGTGAAAGCAGGAGAGATATGTTAACACCGTTATTTGGGTTGTTTTGACGAAAAATAAAATACAGGACTTAAGATTATATATCAAATGTTAATAACTTACAATTTAATTTTTCTGTGACCAATTGCAACTTCACATTAAAAGAAAAAATATTGGTTTTTTTGTAACCCAACAAATAACTATGTGAGCCCCACTTTAAAATTGTGAATTTGAAAAATTGGCTTCGAAGTGCAAATTTTTTGGGTAACGGATTGCATATGTACCAAATTTCATAACTATGAGAGCGACAGACTTAGCTGTGAATCGCTTACACACACATATGGACTTTTATTAATTCCTATCGAATATAGATAGGTATATAGATGTAATAATAATTTCGTTGACATAGTTCAACTATACTAGGATATATTGATACATATAATAGTTTAAATTTATATTATTTAATTTATATTATAGATTCAATTTTTTTTTAAAACAAATTTCTCTAATTCATTAAAATATTAAGTATTCAATTATCTTTTTTTTTTAAATGCATATTTATATTTTGTGGATTAAAATATTGTAAATATAATTTATAATAATTTGAAAAATATTCAAGTTCTAAAAACAATGTAAAGTCACCTTTATGTAACTTAAAAATTATAATAATTAAACCTAACTATAAAATTGAATGAACATAGATATTATCCTATTAATTGTAATTGAAGTCTAGAGAGTGAATCGGTATAGTATGGATAAAGCAAAAATACCATCAAGTAATATTAGTATATTACGCAAATAATTTTACGAAAAAGCGGCCAGTGCATGATTGCTCAATATATTATAATAATATAATACTCAAGAGCGTTTTGGCCCACTGAGACTTAACATTTTTATCTTCCGTTAACAGCTATTGATCCCAATTTGAAAAAAAAACATGATTCAGACATGTACTTAACCCGTTTTTGCATTCATTTCTTAAGGAAATGCTAATATAAGTTTCCCAAGTGACAATAATGATACAATATAATCATACATATAAGTAAAATAACTATAATATGTTTTAAGAGTAACACGGGTCACGACTGTGAATGTAGTTATTGATTGTTTTTTCACATCTTTATTACAAAAGGAATTAAGTGCGATAACACTAATTGTTTGACAATGCTTCTTATGCATGTACCAATACGTTTTTCTGTTTCACATACACATAATATTATAATATGTAATATTACAAGCCGTTAACTTGATAATTAGTTATTTTATTCATTTTTAATTAGGGATAACATACGTCAATCAGTACAGAATTAATGAACACACAGCCGTTTTTTTAACTTACAACCATCATAGTTATGCTTATAACTTATAGGTATAAGACCGAGGTCTTTAGATCGATGCTGTCAAAATCGGGCAATGGTGTTTTTGTACACAGTAATCGCGGTATGCGGTAACGTTGGGAACCCTGAACGTTTGTTATCTACTCATTTAGTAATTAGTTGTATTATTATTCAATCATATAATATAGTAGGTACAGGCAAATGATAAAAATATTTGTGCTGAGCTTCACGTCATATACCGATGCAATAATAGTGTATATTTAATAAAATAATATACCTAAAGCTTCCGCGTATACGAACAAGGATACAGCGGTGGAGTGGATTATTGTCATCGTAAGATCGTCGATCATCTCTGCACTTCCGCGGATCGTTTGCTCGGACCCGTCATCGACATGGACTTCTTGTGTCCGGAAATCGAACAGTTGGTGTCGTGCCACACGTGCGGCGCGCAAGCATTACCACCGTACCAGTTGTGCGTGGAGGCTCACGTGGCCTGCCCTCCGTGTACCAAGTACCAGCCGCGGTGCGCATGCGGTTGTCGCTTCCTCAAAAGGTCCAACACGACATTGGACTGGCTGGTATCAGCGATGAAGTTGAGGTGCAAGTACCGTGCGAACGGTAGCGCGGACGGCAGTCCACTCTCGTCCGTCCCGAGCCAAGTGGACTGCTCGAATAAGTGGTACGCGGTACAGGACCTCCGCGATCACTACCGGACGGGTTGCATGCGGAACTTGTTCACGTGCCCGATACGGAACTGCGGTCACGTGGCCCGCGTCGACACCATAACCGAACATTACGAAACGGCACACGGTCCTTTTCCGCTGCTCGTTCCAGACGACCAGTTGCTTTCGGGAAATTGTGTCCTGTTCCAGTTACCGGCCAAGTAAGCTCGGCGTGACTGACTTTATTATTATTAGAGTATACTATATTATACTCTATACCTAACCTAGTTTCAGAGATTGATAAAGCCGGGTTTCCAAATTACCGCTGTGTTTACAGCTGTGATAAAAATAAAATAAGTCCTTCTGGTATATCAAACAATGTGGTAACCAGCAACCACTAGCTTTATTTAGTACCCATTAACCGTCTAGCTACACGGTGACAAGTCATCAAATACAATCAAACACAGCAGTGTCATTGGTAAAGATACATATTACCACAAAAATAAACCAGGTAAAAGGGCCCTATGCGTGTGGTATAAAACAAATGGTTCGACCAATCAGAATGGCTATATACCATTGACACGTAGGACACCATGCACGGTTGTATGAAAACCCGGCTGACATCGCATGAAGTCTAGAGAGTAGTTTTAACCACACGTTGCCGAAAATATACCAAGTGTCTAATCGGGTGTAAACAATTTACGGAATTGGTTCCCGTTTGAAAAAGCCAAAATGTGTGTTATTTAACTGGTTTCCGTTTGTGGTCAGGTAAAATAGTTCCAATTTTCATTTTCAAGCATTCTTTTGTTAAAGTGGATTATAATATGTAGGTGCAATTGGTACGAAGTGTAAATTAGATAGTATATTATTATATAAACGTGTCTAAACTTTATAGTTTATACAATAAAATGGCAATAATATATAGGGGTTGAAGTCATAATGCAAGGAAACTTACCAGCAAACAGAAAAAAAATAACCAATACTTAGAAAACTGCATGACCGAGTACACGTATAAAAAAACGTTTTGAATTAGATATTTGAAAAAAAGTTTTATTCAAATTTGTAAATTAACGATTTAAAATTGTATTTAGCTATTATATTTTGTTTTTTTTAACACACATTTAAACCAATGTGCTTCATTAAACGGGGACCAATACAGCTCAACTTAATAAAATACATTTTTCAAACGGAAACCAATTCGGCATGCGAGGCTCGGGAACCGAGGGTACCGAGGTCTAGGTACCAGCCGTCTAATCCACCATCGCGGACTGATTTCCGCCGAATTAGTCGAAAAAGGCTAGGCCGATTGCCCCGTGGTGCACTCATAGGTACCCTAAACCGAGACGCGCCGGTATAACATTCTAGCACCGCTTGTTTTGTGTATCGCGTATAATATTATATCACTATAGTTACCACGGTATTACACATGCCGCGTCCGGTAGGCAGTGAATATTTGCTTTATATATTTTGGGCTATGTACATTATGATATAATGTATTATATATATATATATATTAATAATTTATCGTTAGCGTATATGTATTGCCATCGTGGTATATAAACACACACTCGACCGTGTAAGTAGGATAATATTTTAGAGGTGGGGGATAATATTATATTATATGCGATATGCTGCAACGATAAAACGCCGGCATAAATATAATATATTATACCTATCCGTAAACCATATTATGTTAATGAACACTCGGCGCCGCCGCACAAGTCCCATAAAATAAAGGTCATAATAATAATATACGCGTATCGAGAAGACGTATTATACAGGGCGCACACGTAGAGCGTTATGGGTAGGTCACCTACACTTTATGTTATTATGGTGTGTACGGACGACAGACGTGGTGTTATATAATAATAATTTTAGGTGTGTATAGTTGAGCCGGCGCTTCGGACGTCAATAATGCGATATTTAATAATATTGAACATAAATATAAATACCATATATTATCATGCTCGTAATATATAACACAATATTATAATAATATAAAAATATGTAATACATCGGTTTTTGGTACGACGGACGATACGGTCAAACCGGTCACCATAACATCGTCTTTTACGACCGGGCGCGGCGGTGGCGGTGACGTCGATGTAATATTAATATATATTATGCATTGCATAATAACGATAATGTTGTGTCGATGATATTTTAATATAACGATAACGATAGTATTAGAGCTGCGAGTTTTTAGCAAAGTACAATATGATATTAAAATCTTTAGCTCTGTCTTGTAATAGAATATTTTTTTTATTTTGCCTTTATAAAAATTTGGCTCAAAAAACAGAATATTATACTATACCTATAGGTATTTTAACGCAGTGTTTACGTACCTATTATCGGTGGTTGAATAGTGGCTCAAAATAAGTTGAGGAATGTCTTTCATAATTCATATATATATATACACGAGCAGTTTTCGCATGTTTCACTTAAATAGTCGTACAAAATGAGTGGAAGGATAGAAAACGAGAATCGTAAAAAGTGGAGCGATGCCATATCTCCGTACCCCCCTCCCCTCCATTCCTAGTACAACCTATTATATTAATATCATGTAAAACGCGTTTGTTTGAAAATGTTTGCACGCAGAAGGCAGGCGGAAATCATAAAAAAGATTTTCAACGGATACTTTATGTTCAGCGTGAAGCCGCAACGTCGCATGCAAAGAGACATCAACCCGCTACTGTCCATGCAAAACATCAATCCCTCAGACCTTTTTCAGTACACGTACACCGCAACGCAAGAGTCAAACCAAAAAATGATAACGGTCACCGTATCGCTGGTGGAGACGTACAGTTCCCCAATGCATAATAGGATGTAGCTAGTTTTATTTTTATACTCACAGTATATAATATATATTTTAAACATAACGATAATAATGATAATATGTGCCTCACACCTATAGGTCGTGTTATAATACTATATGGCAATGCCGAGCAGTATTCATCATAATAAATGCAATTTATAAAATATATTATTTGTATTTGCGATTTTTATTATTAGCACCACCAGTGTGCCAGTGTGATTAATACAATTTCTACCTATATTTATTATGCGTGTAGGCTGGTTATAATCGTGTTCAGGAATATAACACTGCTAAATAATCATATGAAAAAAAAAGTTTTAGTTGCAGTTACAGAGAGTGTTTATACATCTTTATGAGTAATTTTTGAATTTTTAAACATATGTTTTTACCTGTCTCCGATCTTTAACATTAAGGGTGGTTCTAATTTCTGGTAGCAAAATTAAGAGAAGAATCTAATTTTTACTTCGGTAAGAACGAAGATATTAATAGTTGTACTTTTCTTAATATCTGGGAAAATGGTAATTACTACAAAATAAATGATGCATCAAGTATCAACAGTTTTTGACAAAATCAATTTTTGTTTTGGAATACATGTACTAGGTAACAACTATAAAAATATTTACCAAATACTTAAATTAAAATTTTTTAGATATAATATAACTTAATTACAAAACATATTTTAGATACTTTTAATACATATTTTTTAAACATATGAATTGTTTGTACCTACATTATAGTATTATTGTTTCGATTTATGTTAAATAAATGTTTGTTTCTAGGTTCAAAGCTTGAAAATTGAACATAAGAATTCCCATAAGTTCTACGCGCGTGGCGCGTTGTCCGGTTTTCGAGTATACATATTATACTATATAGGTCTTGCAGCATCACAACGAATATCGGAAAAATAATTTCAAAATATCGAAGATTCATAATATAATCTACATTATTGTCCATAAGCTTTTGGTTAAAATTCAACTCATCTATTAAAATGATCTTCACAATGAAACGATGTACCCAAAATTCACCGCAGGTCATTAAGCCATTAATTTTGAAGTTTAGTTTTTTTAATTTAACATTCAATTTTGAAACTGTTTTTATAGGTGTGTCAATAGTAAAATTAAACTGTGTTGTTATGATAAAACGACGAAAAATATGCATTTTTAAGATAAAAGCTAATATGCATACTATTTAACTTTGTATGAATTAAGGAAATCCCTGACGTCGATGAGTGTGGTAAATGTAGTGATATAGACATTACCAGAACTATAGTGAAATAGTTTTTCTCACTTTTAAAGTATTTAACAACTTTAATTTCTCAACAACTTCAAAACCATTTTACAGTTCAATGCGCGTAAATTGAATAAGTGAAACTTTGAATGTATATTATGTTAAATAAACGTTGATTTTTAACGCAATTATTGTCGTTTCTATAAATAATGCAATTTTGATGAGTTTATAGTGTAACAAAGTTCGAGCCCTGTACTCATAATTATATAATGATCATATGCATTATGCACTATCTTAAAATATTCTAACTATAGCTAGTGATTGAATATGATGAAATATTCAATGATCTATAATAACTAAATGTTTAAAACCTCCTTCCAATTGAACTGATGATACTATACAATTATACTTATTACTTATAAAGGTACTATGAGATTAAATATATATATCCAATTATCCAATTATTTTGGGACATTTTTTTATGACTTCGTATTATATACAGAAATAAACAACTTAAATTACAGTGCTGTAAAAAAAATTGTGTTCAAAATCGTGGGGTGGACAATTTTTTTTAGGTGAATAAAATATAATAGGTTTTATAATTATAACATTTTTACGAAACAACAAGCATGATAATAACTATGAACATTTATTCGAAGGGATTGGTTGTAATATTATACACTATATAGACCCACTAAACCTCGGCACTAATTAAACTATTAAAAAAGTTACATTTAAAGTAACTTTCTAATAATTTATAACCAGTTGGTTTTCACTCACAAAAAAATTCTAACTAACGAGTTGAATTCAATGAGTAAAATAAACCAATCTAACGCATTAAAAACAAAAAGTAAATATGCAGTTATTTTTATAGATTTTTTTTCAACTGCAAAAATCTCTATGTTTCATAAAACGTAAAACTTCTGAGTGCCGACTGGCTAATAATTAATAGCTAATATTTAGTATTTTTTTTATGATAGATATATTATTATTATTCGTGTCTATCCCTTATATTTCTTGCAATGCATTCATACCACGGCTATATAGATATTGATGGTTTGTAGTTTAGTGCATAATTATTAATTGAGGGTAATTTTATTGCATTTGGACAAACGGACTTTTCAATTTTGTGTCTTAAGCTATAAAAATAAAAACAACTAACTCGAGTTATTATTTTTACCAACTATCTTTTCAGTAACTAATTAATATTCCTACTTAATTATAGTTCCTATATTTTAATGTAACTGAACTTTAACTTGAGCCGAGACAAATTACTTAATTGCCTACTACTTTGACGTCCGCGGACTACGGTGATTAAATCGCATGACTCTTGTGCTTATATAACTCTTTGTTTGTAGCGATTTATACTTATTATAGTATTACCATTTTGAATATACATCATATTATGCGGACAACGGATGGTGACGTATATTATATATGCATATATTTTGGACATTGGAATAGACCGGCCCGTTATTTCGCGCAACAGCGACGGTCAACAGTAATTTTCAACGCGTTTCTATATTATATATGTGAACTAAATGCTAATATTATATAGTTACTTACGTCATATTGGAATCTGATATATGATATTTAGACCGATTTAGTTTCCGCAGAGTGGTGTATATATTATAATAGACGGGGGTCGACCGCCTCGTATATACATACATAATAATATATTGGCAAAACTATCCCATTTCGTTTTCCAACACCGCCGCACGTGTTCGGGGCCCGGAAGCAGCCTCGAATACCACAGGAACGCGACCCGGTGATCAATTGGATTTCCAGTTTCTAGTGAGGTTCGTAAATATAATATATAGATTATTATACACATGCGTAGTACATTAAGTTATCAATCCGGTAGAGGAACACCTGTTTCTCACGCACTCGGTGTAATGATTTACTCATTTCTATAATAGGCGTATATATAAGTTCAAAACAAAATAAAATAACCTGTCGCTGCGAAAGATCGAGTAATGAGACGTGTGAAAAATACTCCGTACAATGCTTAAACGCAAAGATGTTTTATGATGATATAATATTATGCTGAAAGAAAAGTATAATTTATATATACCTATATAGATTATACATTTGTGTGTACTCAAATGCTTTGCCGATAATATGTGATTGGTTTTTCATTTATTAAGAATGTGCATATTTACGCTCTGTGTACTTACACTATAAGGTATAAATACAATAAATTGTAGCAATAAGTATAAAATAAGACATACGCCATACGTGGATATAGGACAGTTCGGTTGACGATTTGAAACTACTTCAAATATTTTATATTTTTTCCTATGATTTATTTATACACTGTATTATATTATTTATTTGTATATATATAGTATGGAGACCGTAGTTTTAATCATCATTAAGAATAGGCTTTTTGGCCATTTACTTGTACTCCGATGACGATAGTTGGATTGTCATAAAAACTGTCAGTGAGACGATGGAAGTATAGTATATATATAAGTATATATAGCCATATTATGTGGGTCGGAGTGATTAATAATAATTGATTTATATGAAATAGTTTTTGCACAATATGTATAATATAATATGTGTATATTGGAGTTTACACATTTATGTCATAATGGCGTAATGTACACCCACCTTTTCCTCGTAAGTGGTAGCGTATTTTATTTTTATATATTATATTATTATAATATACATTTGCCATGTTACACAAATCATATTATAGAAGTCACAATTCTCACCACATGTGGTAGGTACATAGAAGACAGTCTTACGGCACAGACACAGAATAGCATATAATATTATTATGCCGTGCACAATGATAAATGGATTAAGAGGAAAATTTTATGAATAGTTGTAGAATTTATACGTTCGTATTTCGTTCAGCAGCTATCACGTTTGGCTTCGTCGGATTTAATATTAAAATGATTTGACTTATTATCAAACTTAAAGATGCCATCATGATCAATATTTCGACGGAGGAGATTTTTGATATTTCAATTTTTAAACAAGATATTATCAGAACTTTTTAATTGTAATATTTTAAACGTTTGTGCTAACGAAAACAACATTACGATATTACATATCAATAACTTACTTTAAAATTTTAATTACGAACAAAATAATTTCAATCGAACCCAGACAATGTTGTCACCTTTAAGGTTGGTATGAAATAGGTCAATTCGTACTATTGAAACCAAGGAAGTTAAACGTGAATTGTCCATGTTACGCACTGGTAAGAAGGAGACTACAACAAGTGCGAGCGCCGCGGTGTACGATCAAAATACTGTGCGAAGGAGAGAAACGGAGACCTATGAAAAATGAAACGAATATCCGGTGGCGTGCAGAGAGAGGTGTGCAGCTAGTTCTTAAATGAACTGTGAACGTATAAGAAAGTACCTATATGCATATATAATAAGGATATGGACCGGACGACCACCAATTTGGCAGTGTCGTATAGAACCGTGATTAATATATCGGTTTGTGTGCGCAAGAAACATATTATATTATAATAATACATGGAGTGCGTCCACAGTCCTGGTGCGGTGTTGACACAATTTACGGCGGGCTAATACAAGCACCGAAATGCAATAATAATAATATGATATAATATTTTTATTTCGTATTTTTCTCCGGGGGCTGGGGGGGGGGGTGCGTCCGCCACCCGCGGACCTGACAAGACTGTCCCGGACAACACGACCTGCTATAGTGGACTGCTGCCGTCGCTAATGGGACGGACGTAAAAATTAAACGGCAGCGGCGGCGTCGTCGTCGTCGTCGTCGTCGACTCGAGTGATTAATGCAAAAAAGACTGCTGCTGCTGCCGATGACGTATATGCGGGTGGGACACG